ATATTTTTTACTTTGCTGTACATGCTGTTTAGAAGAAAGAGGGGTTTGAAGCAATGGGCATCGGCTATTAAAAATATATTTAAAAATAACTGTTTGTGTTTTTAATAATAACTAATTTTTTCATTTTATGTTTTTGGTATAGCCAACTGGAACCGTTTTTAGTAGCTATTGTTTATGAACATTTCCTTTATAGTGTTTATTCTGCTATGCACTTATAATGTAAAACTGTAAAAAATGCTACACTTGCACTTTGCTTAGGACTTCTTTGTCCAGTGACTCCTTTGTTAAAAACTGAACTAACATATTTACAGCTATTACAAATTTTACCACATCCTGTATACAGCAAGTAAAGAAAGCATGAACTGACTCACACACACACACACACGGATAGATAGATAGATAGATAGATAGATAGATAGATAGATAGATAGATAGATAGATAGATAGATAGATAGATAGATAGATAGATAGATAGATGAATAATATAGATAGATAGATAGATAGATAGATAATAAAATTAAAATACATTTAAAAAAGTCAAGCTTTAGTGAAATCCCACTGCTTGCTAAATACAGAACATGAAATACACTGGCTTACTTTACAATCATTACTTGGATTAGTTTGCCCTCTAGTGGTTAAGTTACATAACTTGCCTGGAAAGTTATTTCTTAGGTTTCCATACAAAATAAATATTTGCAGCATCATTTTTACATTGTGCAAACTGATGAAGAAAATATGTAAGATCATTTGAATAATCATGGTAGTCAGTAAATCGTTAATGATTTTCAGAAAAATGTTGGCAATGCATTGACTTAGTTGTTAATGTTCCAGTATTATAGGGTTTCTTGATATTCACTAGCTCTACTTACGAGGCCCCTTTTGTGTAAACAAAAATAAAAGGTAAAACAAGACTCCTCCAACCATTAAATAAGTAGCGGAGCTCAATCAAAATGATTCTATAGTTGCTAGATTTAGATCTCTGAACTTGACCAATTATTAATGAAGGCGGGAGCTTTAGGGCTTGTTCACACACCGTCCGGATTCTGTCCGTACCAGATCCGTGCACTCATGCACCCAAAATGCATCCCAATGTATCCCTATGTGTTTTATGGGCTACAGTTCTCATGAGCGCAGTCCGTTCCGGACAGAAAAAATGGTGCATGTCACATTTTGTCCGGTCCGGAAATGCACGGACACGTCCCCACTCCAACCAAAAAAACTGGAACACATCAAAAACGCATTAAAAATGTGTCAAAAATGCACTGCATGCATAGTACCGCGTCTCCAGATCTGGACAAAAAAATCATGTGAACTAACCCTCAGGCCCTGTTCACACTGAGCGGTTTATCGCATGATTTTTGCTGCGATATCGTGCATATTTCCAAGCGATATTGCTCTATGTAGCTTGTCCAATGCATTTCTATGGAGCTGTTCACATCTCACAGCTCAATGTCACCTGTAGCGGGTCGCTGTAGCTTGTTGCTCGTACCTGACCCTTTTTTGTGCGGATGTTGTGCGATTCGGCTCCAATAGACTCTATGGTGTCGTGCAAAATCGCGCATCACCAGCGAAATTGCGCGACCTGGTCGCGCGTCATCGCGCTACATTTGCACTTCAAGATGTAAGGAAAGAATGATGTCACATCAAGATCACTGTTGATTTGTTGATTGGTTAGAGCCCAATGTAGCAGCGACGAAGCCTAAACACGCGCTACGTCATGTGATAAAATGTGCAATGCCGCTTAATATTGCGTAATGTAGCTCAAAGCCGCTTAGCGCGATATCGCGTGGAAAAACGTGCAATATCCATGTCGCTCAGTGTAAATGGGGTGTAAGAACTGATCTCCAAAACCAGAAACCCCAAATACTTTGTTCAAGAGTTTGACCTTACTAAAACAGCATTTTGCACCTCATATCTCTGCAAACAGAAAAAATATATAGCTACAAATACCTGTAAAGATTCAAAGATACGATTCTAAAAATGCACACACAATGTCCCATAAAGTGAATATAAAAAAAGTACCAAATGTGCTAGCTTCAAACAACAGCATGCAATCCTTCCAAATATCCTCTTATAAGGAAGAACAGCTGACTTTAACGTGATTTTCCCTATACGCTCAGTACAGTAGTAGCGCTCTCAACACACCTTTTACTCATCATACAGAGACAGTCACTTAGCTTGTCTCTGAACGCCAGTTTATAGTTAGTCTTAATTACCTCCAGTTTCATTAGCTATTAACTGGAGGTCATTATTTTTTATTAAGTGCAGCCATAGCATCACTTGTAAAATTGGAACTATTAAGAACTAGCTGAATCTGTTGCACGTGTCAGTGAAGTTACATGGATTTTTTTTATTTGGCATAGGATTTATTAAGGGTCCATACTGCCAGAAAATTGGTGCAAAGCCTTTATTCAATTCCCCAGATAGTTTTAACTCTGAGATATACACTGATCAGCCATAACATTATGAGCACCCACCTAATATGGAGTAGGTCCCCCTTTTGCTGCCAAAACAGCCCTGACCCATCGAGGCATGGACTCCACTAGACCTCTGAAGGTATGCTGTGGTATCTGGCACCAAGCCGTCAGTAGCTGATCCTTTAAGTAAGTAACAAGGTGGGGCCTCCATGGATTGGACTTCTTTTTCCAGTACATCTAAAACATGCTCAATTGGATTGAGATCTGGAGAATTTGGAGGCCAAGTTAACACCTCAAACTCGTTGTGTTCCTCAAACCATTCTTGAATTATTTTTGCAGTGTGACAGGTTGCATTATCATGCTGAAAGAGGCCACTGTCATCAGGGAATAACATTTCCATGAAGGGGTGCACTTGGCCAGCAATAGTGGTTAGGTAGGTAGTATGTGTCATAGTAATATCCACATGAATGACAGGACATTGCCCAAAGTACCACACTGCCTCCGCCGGCATGCCTTCTTTCCATACTGCATTCTGATGCCATGTCTTCCCCAGGTAAGAGTCACACATCACCCAGCCATCTATATAATGTATAAAACGTTGTCCAGCCAGTGTCAACCCGGCCACCTTCTTTCATTGCTCTGTGGTCCAGTTCTGATGCTCACATGTCCATTGTAGGAGCATTTAGTGATGGACACGGGTCAGAATAGGCACCCTGACAGGTCTGCAGCCACACAGCTCCATAAGCAACTAACTGTGATGCACTGCATGTTCAAGTAGTAAAATACAGTATATCACCAGCACACCAAAGTAATATCTTCAACGAGTGGTCATTTTATTGATGTACACACATCTTGTCACAAAGCAACGTTTTGGGGCCGCTCAGGGTCCCTTCAACAGGCATGACAATGTGTTACAATCCGTATTTAAATATAAGTGCAAACCCATTAAAATAATTCTTCCCCACCCCAGTCCATTTTTTGGGTTTTGAGTGGAATGTGTCAAATTTGGCTTTTTTTTCTCCTCCACTTTTTTGTGTCATACCATTACAAACAAAATAAATAAACATGAGAATGCCTAATGCAGCTTCTCCCAGGCACGAGGACTGTGCCTGATATGTGATGAATGTAAGTGGCAAGTGCTGCTGTGTTCTGTATTGCTGAGATGGTTGCAGTGAGATCTTTGTTATCTCTCCACTGGCTCAGTGATTAAAAATGTTGCGGTTTCAGCTGGGCCGGTACAAGGAATTTTCCTTACACAGCTCCCCAGTACACAGTCCTCCCATCTTCCCAGCCAGCCAATAAGGCAGGCCACTGTCCCCTGTCCCCTGCATGCAACCCAATTGGGGGAGAGACAACACATGATCTCAAGTCAATAGACAGGGTAGAGGCTAAAAGACCAGCCAACCGCTCCAATGGAGGAGAGGAGGGGAGTAGCTCAGTGGGTGGCTGAACGAGGACAGAGAGGAGATCGCTGACACATCTACCCAGGCCATGCCCATCCATCCTTTTGGAGACTCTATCACCGGCCCTGGGTTTCAGTGTTATTCTCAGGGTGATTAGGGTGTGCCCAGGCACACCCGGCACATGCCGTGCGCACACCTCTGACTTCCACTCTTTAAGGCCTCACACATGCAGACAATAGGACACTTGTAATTGGATGTGTTTATACTATATGCTTTTAGAAAGCTTTTATAAATATACAGTATGTATCTTAGTGGGTTCATTCACAAGTTGCAATGAAATGTGCACAGCCACGGTCAGTTTACCAGCGTTTTGGAAAAAAAGGCTGATGTTTCTAAGATCTAAATACAGCGTCTGAATGCAGGTGAATGAAGTTAAACCCACTTTACCCCTTTTGCTGCCACAGATGTAGTATTGACAGGGCACACACCTTTTTTGGCAACTGTTTGGTACTAATGAAATATCATCATTATGAAGAACCAGGTTGTTTTTCCTATAAATAATAATAGAATTGGGGTAAAGTTGATCCAAAACTCAGTTTAGGGGAAACCGAGTTTTCAGTGATATAGTGTTTAGTATGTTGCAGGTACTTTCTCTAAAACTAAAAATAAATGGCTTTTGAGTCCTTATACCAATCCAAATTCATGTCCTCAGTATGTTAGATAGAGAACATGGGCTTGGTTGTATATATAGAGGTTGTCACCCAAATAATTGAAGAGCCCAAAACTGACATCTGGATAAATTGTTCATGGTGTTTGCCATACAAGTGGTTTATTTTTTGCAAGTCAAGTTATCATAAAAAATACAATAAAATATGGTACCAAATACTTTATAAGTATATTGCAGGGCATGGGTATGAAACACATGGAGATGTTTAGCACACCCTGCAGCTGTTGGTTTGGGTCATTTTTGAAGAAGCTCATAAAAGTTACTGTACAATATTCACTTGTGAACCATTATAAATAATTTCTGACTATTGTACGACCTAAATATTTGATTACCATATCATCAAAGGTGTTTCAATATTTATCAGTTACCATGTTATATAAAATAAGTAGCTGTTATAAAGTTTGCTTACACTAGTGTAAAATATTAATATCTTTGCTTTTTCTCTTTTGACAGGCAAAATTTAGTTCTGATGGGGGACTTAGGCACGCGACGCTCAACCATCGTTTCTAGGTTGCCGATATTTAGACGGAGCACAACCCGAAAACAGGATTCTCTTCCTTCCTCACCTTCTTCCAACAATGGCCTGCACACTTCCTCTCCGTCAAGTACAAATTCCAGCTCAGGTAGCACTGGGAAACGAAGAAGCATATTTCGTACACCATCCTTAAGTTTTCATCACAGGAAAGAAAGCAACCACAGTTATGAATCCAGCCAAGTACCAACCATTTCTCAGAGCCCCCAAAGCACTTTGCAGAGCCTTGAACTGGAAGAGCAGACCAAAGCAAAGGCAAGAACCTCCACTAGCATCCCTAGCTCATGTAGGAAGATTACTAGATCAGTAACCGAGGACTTTGGGAAGAGAAAGGAACATTCAGTTAGCAAGAATGTATTCACAAACTGTTTAGGTAAAAATGAGGCAGATGACTCAGGATTTGTAGATGATCAACCCAAAAGAGCTGTGAAACATTCCTCAAGAAAGCTTCTCCCTAGATCATTTTCTTCCCATTACAGATTTTCCAAGCATGGTTCTCGGTGTCAGACTCCACCGCCAGAACAAAATTCAGGCTGCTCTGCAGAAGCTCTTACCCAACTACAAACAGATCCTGTACCTGCCAAGTCAGTGCTACATTGTGCCACAGAGGTAAATGAAAATACAGAGAGCTCTTTACTGTCACCTCTTCTATCAGCTGATCACACAACTGCTCCACAGACACCATCTGATTTTATATTTATGGACGATTCTGCCTCTGAAGCTGATTCCCTGCCAATCAGTGGAAATCAGAGATCTGAAGGACAGCAAATTTGCAATCCTGTTTCTACCTCACAAGGCTCTGCCAATCCAGCATCTGTTCCTGCTGAAATTAATAAGGAACTGCATGCGGTAAAAGACATGTCCATATGTGATGGTTTAGTCCTTACAAAACAGAAAGCTGCTACAGTTGTAAAAACATCTGGGTCAAATATATGTCTTGCATCTTCTAAAGAACTAATACCTATGTCTGAACTACCTACAGGTCATGATGTTAATCTTGAAAATGGTACTGAGCAAAAACCCATAGATAGGCCAGTATTTCAAAATGGTAATCACTTCCGCTCTATAGAAAGTTTGCCAAAGAAATTTGAGGCAGCTGTATCTCAAAGTGAAGTGATGTCAACGCTAAGCACTCATCAGTCTGTGCCAGAGACAAAAGTTTCATCTGAGGCACAGTATTCACAGATGCGCAATGGCCATGCAAGAGGTAATGATATATTCCTTTGTATATATTTGTATCTATTTACTGGAAAAATAAGTTTAGCAAATACTGTATATATTCATTAATATTTTTTTAATATTTTGTGAGAACTATGGTTTTTTAGATTAATAATATTAGAGCAGTGTTTCTCAACCGTTTTTCAGTCACATCACCCTTTAAAAGTATGCAAAATCTCAAGATACTGCAGTCTACAATGAGAAAAACATAACATTTAAAAAACAATGTATGGCCCCTCCAAAATCAATACCAGGCTGTTATGTAAGATAAGGATCGGGTATGGATTTTAAGGTGAACACAAAAAAAGTTGGGTAGCCCTTCAAATCAGGAGCCCCCTTCACGTCAGAGAGCCCCTTTCACATAAGAATCCCCCTTTACATCAGAAACCCCCCTTTACATTAGGAGCCCCCTCCTTTCACATCAGAGTCCCCGACTTTCACATGAGAGTCCCCCTCTTTCACATCAGAATCCGCCCTCTCGCATCAAAATCCCCCTTTACATGAGGAGCCCTCTTCACATCAGAAGCCCTCCCTTGACATCAGAAGCCTACCATCACATCAGGAGCCCCCTTGACATCAGAGTCCTACCAGCACATCAGGAGCAGCTGCTGCAGCGTGGCAGTGGGCAGGAGGCAGAGCAGGGCTGGAGGGAGGAGAACGTCCGTTCTTTTCCGAATGGATCTAACCCTCCGTGGATAAGCATCATTAGTTTCCATGGTGCTTGTGGCTGGCCTGAATGCACCATGGCAATGCATTATACTATGTGTAAAATGTTGAGGCACCCCTGAGGAAGCCAGAAGGCACTCCATGCTGCCATGGCACCCTGCTTGGGAAAGGCTGTTCTAGATCACTGAAAAACAAATTGGGAGGCACTCCTGAGTGTTACTAGCAAAAAATACTGTCCTTGTAAACATGGTGGTTGAGGCATCTAAGTCAGGGATCTCAAACCTCAGGCCCTCCAGCTGTGGTGAAACTACAAATCCCATGATGCATCTCTCTTCAGCAGTCATGTCTGTGGCTGTGAGAATCTAACAATGCCTCAGGGGATTTGTAGTTCCACCACATCTGGAGGGCCGGAGGTTTGAGACCCCTGATCTAAGTATATCACTGATCTAGGATTTCCACATGGTATATTCTCTAGAGCAGTCACCAACACTCCATAGATGTGAATTAATCAGCTCACATTTATTCACAAAACATCACATCACTATATATTCCAGTGTTTTGGGTCCAAGAAGGGTCCTTTCCCCATGAAGTTACCATGAGGAAGGGACCCCCCAAGGCCCCGAAACTTTGGATTATATACAGTAGTTATGTGATGTTTTGTGCATAAATCCAAGCTGATTATTTCACCTCTATGGAGTGCTGGTGCATTCTCTTCTACTTGTGTTCACTTACAATACAGTAGAACCAGAAAATAGTCACTCGCACTCCAAAGCGAAATCCAGTCAATCACTTTATTGACTATGGTGATAACATCACTAAGCGACGTTTCGGAACCAAGTGGTCCCTTCTTCAGGCAAACTGAAGAAGGCGAGTGACTATTTTCTGGTTCTACAAGATTTGCGGAGGCATCTGGGCATTTTGCGGAGTTGCCTGAACAAGATTTGCGGAGTTGCATTGGGCATTTTGCGGTCAGGAGTGCGATGGGATATATCAAATTTTAAGTCACTTACAATACAGGACTGCAGGTCCTGCATTGTTCATAGTGACGTCAGAGTGACTCCAACCAACAGAGTGGGAAAAAGATGTAGCTTCGGTGAATTGGTTAGACAGAAAGAAAGTAGCCTGAGGAAGCAGGGGATAAGGTAGATACATCTACGTTTTAATGGTACCCAAAACTAAAAGCATTTAACCCCTGCATTGCTCTACTGCAAGGGTAACTTTGGATTTCCCCCAGAACATAATATTAAAGAGTAACTTTTTTTGAACAGAGAAATCTATTTTATTTTTATTTATTTATTACAGGTTTTTATATAGTGCCGACAATTTACGCAGCACTTTACATAGTACACATTCACATTAGTCCCTGCCCCTGAGGAGCTTACAATCTAAGGTCCCTATCTCTCAGGGCCAATTTAGACATGAGCAAATTAGCTTTCCATCATGTCTTTGGAGTGTGGGAGGAAACTGGAGTGCCTAGAGAGAATCCATGCAAGCACAGGGAGAACATGCAAACTCCTTGCAGAATTGCTAGCAGACATAAAGCAGAAGAGACCTGCTATGGGGAGAATTTATCAAAACTGCAACAGACAAAATCTGGAGCAGTTGACCATAGTAACCAACCAGCTTCTTTTTTCAGTTTGTTCAGTTAAAGTGACATTAAAGGCAACATTTGTTTTCCCTCCCCCCAATGTAAATGTTAGCACTTACCTTAAATGATGTCTCTTTTCCCGATCTTCCTCTTCTTTCCCCATGTTTTCATCTGTCCCTCCAGCGGTGCGACGTCACTCCGATCCAGCGCTGACTGCTCTGTCTCTCCGATCCAGCGGTGTCTGCAGGCGAGTGCACGCGTCCATAGACTTACCTTGCGTCTCTGTTCGTCTCCCGGCCGAGAATCGGAACTGCGCATGCGCCTGCCCCAAGATCCTTAGCGGCCGTACAAGCAGTTCCTGATTCTCGGCGCGGGAACGAGCGGCGATAACGAGGTACGTTTAAAAGGATTTTAAGCGTTTTTTTTAATTTTACACTTCTTGCCTATATTTACTGCATGCTAGCAGTAGATATAGGCAAAAGAACCGGAGGGTTTAGAACCCCTTTAAGCTTTGAAAGTGAAAGATAGAAGCTGATTGGTTACTATGGGCAACTGCTCCTTATTCTGCCTGCTCCAGTTTTGATACATTCCCCTCTATGCATCTTCTGCAATAAAATCTTCTTAACTGCCTTTTCGCAAACATCTGTAGAATGTAAGCATGCCTTTTGGCTGTGATGAATTAACTACATTCATAGGAGTTATGTCAAAGAACATGCAAACTCCTTGCAGAATTGCTAGCAGACATAAAGCAGAAGAGACCTGCTATGGGGAGAATTTATCAAAACTGCAACAGACAAAATCTGGAGCAGTTGACCATAGTAACCAACCAGCTTCTTTTTTCAGTTTGTTCAGTTAAAGTGACATTAAAGGCAACATTTGTTTTCCCTCCCCCCAATGTAAATGTTAGCACTTACCTTAAATGATGTCTCTTTTCCCGATCTTCCTCTTCTTTCCCCATGTTTTCATCTGTCCCTCCAGCGGTGCGACGTCACTCCGATCCAGCGCTGACTGCTCTGTCTCTCCGATCCAGCGGTGTCTGCAGGCGAGTGCACGCGTCCATAGACTTACCTTGCGTCTCTGTTCGTCTCCCGGCCGAGAATCGGAACTGCGCATGCGCCTGCCCCAAGATCCTTAGCGGCCGTACAAGCAGTTCCTGATTCTCGGCGCGGGAACGAGCGGCGATAACGAGGTACGTTTAAAAGGATTTTAAGCGTTTTTTTTAATTTTACACTTCTTGCCTATATTTACTGCATGCTAGCAGTAGATATAGGCAAAAGAACCGGAGGGTTTAGAACCCCTTTAAGCTTTGAAAGTGAAAGATAGAAGCTGATTGGTTACTATGGGCAACTGCTCCTTATTCTGCCTGCTCCAGTTTTGATACATTCCCCTCTATGCATCTTCTGCAATAAAATCTTCTTAACTGCCTTTTCGCAAACATCTGTAGAATGTAAGCATGCCTTTTGGCTGTGATGAATTAACTACATTCATAGGAGTTATGTCATGCCAGGCTAGCCAATTAAGATGGCCAAAGATGCTAAACCGCTGTGGAGGGGAGGTAAGTATAGCAGTCTTTAGTTCTGCTTAAACACCATCCCCTTGGAGGTTTTTAGGACGGTCCTGCTAAAGAGCAGGTTGGTTCTGTCTTTGTATTATTATTTTTTTTACATTTTTACATATACAATATGTCTTGGTATTATTATTTTTTTTACATTTTTACATATACAATATATTTCGAAAGGTTTATTGCAAGTTTATATTAATGTTTTTTTTTTTATCTATTAATGCCACTGTTTCTATTCATGTCACTTTTCTAGTCCAGTGGCATGCTTGTTGTTTTTAAATGGGTTAGGTGATTATTTAAAATACAATGCTTTACTCAAACTAGCTTGGAATTGCTTCACTTTTAGCTCTTATTCGAGCATAAATATGCACATGATTTGGTCTACTTTCATCTGAATTTAGTTAAAAATAAAATACATGACAGACTTGCTTTCTTCTAAGTGATAAATCCTTCATGTAACTGAGCAATACACGGGGCTACTAAAATATACATGGAACAGACGGCTCAAAGTTCTGTCCTTCCCAAACTATTATGTCTGAGCATCTTCACAGCTCTTTCAACTTGAGCCGAAGTATCCATGTTAATTAGATTTTTGCATTCATATTACTTGCTAATGAATCTACCCTGTGGCAAGCTAAAAATTGTCATAAACCCCAGTATTGCCTCCAATTAAAATATCAAACATGTTTTCAGTCTTAATTAGACAGAAACCTGGTGAATGAATTGATATTCCATCTGAGATCTGATATACCAAGACAGTTAACAGATGTCTTTGAGGGTGATTGATAGGATCACGTGCCAACAATGTTTTGTAAATGTATCAAACAAGATAACAAGATGCATTATATCAGTAACCTTAATGCAAGTGTGTCATAGTCGGGTTTTTGTTTCTACCTGGGGACATCCGCCTTCTCTATTTGTATTGGTTATCATTTTCACAGGGACAAGGAATTTTACAGTTGTCACAGAAACTGGAATCACAATGGGACCCCTGTTCTGGTGAAACTTGTCTATAAGGGGATTTATTTACTGATTTTGGAGAGACTACAGCTCACTTCCAGTTGTATCTCTAGGACAGGAAATCAGAGGAAATCTTCCCCATGTATAAGCATAAAAAAAGCTACATCACATGACCAGAAACCTTTTATTCAGCATACTAGGTAGACAGACTTTCTACACCAGATCACACTGGATTGGTAAAGGTACTGAAAAGCAAAGCGTTAAAGTAGTCTTAGCATAGCACTAACACTTCTAAAATGCTGGCACATATGTTCATTCTGTGAGTAGCAATTACTGCTATGCATTAGTGAAGTTTACTGATAGCTACCAACTTTGGAACTTGAAAATGAGGGACACCCTGGGGCGTAGAAAGCATGCTGTGAAAATGGGTGTGTCTAGATTGCACTGGATAATTGGAGCGTGCCCCCTTTATGGGAATTTTAGGGGGAACCCCACAGTTTTTTCTTTTTTTTTGGGTGGTGGAATTCCCCCTTAAAATTGCTACGAGACCTAAAGGGTCTGGTATGGTTTGGGTTTTGGGTTTTTGTTGTGTTTTTTTTTTTTTTCATTTGTTTACATTTTGCAAGGGGAACGATCTGCTCCGGCAGACCGTTCTCCCTACTTCGGCTGTGTCATCGGCTCTGCCTCGCTAAAGCATATGCATTCGGCTCAGCTGAGTGCTTCAGCTGCCTTCGGCTGTTGTACGGGCTATTGTGAACAGCCCTTACAGCAGCCCTTTGGTTTGGCTGAACTGAGGGCTTCCCGCAGCCGAAGCGAGCCGAAGGATTAGCTGAAGGTTCGGCTTAATCCTTTGGCTCCTTCGTGAATGACCCCCCAAATCTTTATCCTTGTCTTCATATTTGTTTCTTTTTATCTAGGGAGAGTCCTGCATCGTAGACCCAGGCTGTATATAGGATCTTGGGTTCTCTCCAAGTTGACATTATGTCCTGTTAAGATTTATTTTTTTACCAATAATGCTACTTTATACATTTTAGTGGACACTGTTAGCGCTTATTGGCTGTTTACAGGGGATCTGCTCATTAAGTGAAAGTAAAAGTCAAAAGGTTCTTAAGCGTTTTCAAATGCTGAATAAACCAGTTACAATGGATGCTGCTTCTTGAAGTTGAAACATTTTTAAAAGTTTAAAAGTCCTGCAGAATCAGCTGTTCCTCGGAGCACTGGCCCTGATATCTTGTTTTAGAGTGGCTCTTTTCCCTTGCAAGGTCCTATGGAGCCACCCTTGTGTGTGCTAGTAAGCGGGGTTATAATAGGTAGTTGTCTTGTCGCACGCCTTCCTGGAAAACCCCAACAACAGGGGGGGGTGCTCGTAGTGACTGCGGATGGCACCGACAGGCAATGTTTGTAGAAGGATGTCACCAGCACACCAAATTAAATTTAAATCCAGAGTGTTCATTTATTGAAACGTCATGTCATCAGAACCAGTTGATGACATGACATACCAATAAACAAACTCTTTGGATTTCAATTTGATTTGGTTTGCTGGTGACATCTTTCTAGTAAGCTGTGTGTCTCCACAGCAGGGTAAACCCCTGCAATGTTCCCCCTCCCCTGCTCCTTCATCACTTCTGCAAGCCAGTAGATGGACAGCTGCTGGAGATTGTGTTGCCCTTTGTGATCTTGCAATGGACAGGACGTTTAGGGAAGCTGAGCTGAAATAGTTGGAGCCAGCTGTTCAGAAACATAAATGCAAGTGCTTGGGTAAAAATGTAAAGAAATACAGTATTTTGCTGGACAATGTATATTTGTTTGATCTGGATTTGTTATTGAAATAATGTTTTAGAGTTTAATACTAGTTTAAGCAAACTGCCTTTATGCCCAACCTGATGTTTTCTGACCCTGGTTTGCACGTTTTTATTGAATCCTCCCATGATATCAGTTTACTTTAAAAAGTTGATGAGTTTAGACTATACTATTAGAATGTAATTTTTTCATTTTAAAACCCACAGTACTGCAGTATTACCCTGGAATAAAGCCAGATACGATTTCTGAATATTTGATAAGAGAATACTAAATGTGTTTCCAGTACATAAACATTTACTCTCTTTTATGTGTTTATTTGCAGTTAACTATGCCAGTAGTTTCAGCCCATACAGAGATGGGCGCTATTCTGAGAGACGATTGCGCTCATCCTCCGAGGGTACCGCAGGGGGCAGCAGCATGGCTTTTAAACCAAAGGAGCAGCATTCTGAAGAGCTGCCACATTTTAGAAAACAAAGAACTATTTCAACGTCTTCAAAAATGAATAGCATGGTAAGTGAACAGAAATTATTTCTTTTGTAGTAATATTAGAGTAAATCTACTAATCACTAATATCCTCTAACCTTGAACATCACCCAATATCTAAGTGGCGGATATGTAAAACACATACATATTTATGAGCATCTTTTTTGATGTATTGTTGGAAAGAAAACGTAGTGCTCTGTCTTCTCATTAACCATCCCTCATCCACATAAGAAACCCCAAGAACGAATTTGAAATTAGTGTAGCACATGTACTATAGCTGCTTTTAAATTAAAGAAATAATTACTATGTGCACATAACCTGCTATTATATATGTTTACTGGCAATGGAAATCCTAAGAACATAGGGTCCTATTGCCAGAGATCATCCATTTGGAAATGTGCAACCCACCTACTGGGGACCCAAATGGAATGAATTATTGTGATCACAATTAGTTTAGTAATGCTGGCATATTTACTAAGACAAATAATTGTAAAGAGCATATTAAAATCATGTTGTTAGTTTTCATTAGTCCTGCATACTGGGATAATATCCTACCTAATGAGCCAAATCAGAAATGAACACTTATTAATGCTCAATGTTATTTTCATAGGAAAGTGGATATAGGGGATACTATAATACAATGGGGCTGATAGAGCATTAATATAAGTCAGGTTAAAAGCACACCTTTGTATCTCCTTAGTTGGATCATTAACCGAAAACTATGGTCAAACCTTTTTTTTTTGGCTTTGGTCCTCTTTTGGGTCACAAGAGTACATTCACTAATGTAATCCTGTGACCCAAAGTTAGCATATAGTGGGCTACTACATGCTATAACATGCTATATGCTGACAGCGCAGAGCTGAACTGCAATCAGGAAAAAATATTGTCAAGATCCACCCCGCTACCTGATTAACAGCTGGCTCTGTCTTTTTTTCCAATGAATGCTGGAGGCACAGAGAGAGTGTTTTGGGAGGGAATCCCTGCAGTGAATGGTGACTGACAGTCACTGCTATCTGCAGGGAAAATCCATGACCTGAGCGATCATGGATTGTGACACTCCTGCTCAAACTATTGGGAAGAGTATATTTTACTCTCCCAATTGTTATCCTTTAATAGAAGGATTACACAGCTTTAGAGCTCTGCCCCATGTGCATGTTTTCACAAGAGATGAAGGACTGAAGCCTTGTGGGAGAGACAGTTGTACTGAAGGGGGGTGCTTTTTAGGTCAGGGCAAGTTTTGTATTGATTTCAATTCAGAATTAAAGTAATACAGTCAAAAGGTTGTTGTTTAAAAGTTTTAGCTTCCTGCAGAATCAGCTGGTCTCCTGAGAACTGGCCCTGGTATCTTGTTTTAGGATGGTTCCTTCCATTTCAGAGTCCTATGGAGCCGCCCATGTGTGTGCTAGTAAGGTATGTGTCTCCACAAACACATAGGTGCTCCTCTGCTCCCTGATCCCATGTACTCCTTCCTTCTACAAGCTAGTTGATGGATAGCTGCTGGAGACTGTTCTTTCCCTTGTGATCTTGTACAGGACAGACAGTTTAGAGAAGCCAAGCCAAGAGAGTTGGAGCCAGTTGTTCTGAAACATGATGTCTGTAAGTGTTTGAGCAACAATTTAAAGAAATACTTATACTTACATATTGAAAAAGGTTTGAGAGTTTAATACTACTTACTGCTTTTTTTCATGTGATAATAATTCCACGTTTCTAGGGACAGAGATGTACCTTCTGCAACTATTTTGTTCCTCAGTCAGTCAGATAGGCTGATTTTTCACCAACATTATGTCAATACACACTGAGCAGATCTCCTAGTCCTCTATGGGACTACGCCGCCCTACGCTCACCCCAAGTGCAGGTCCGTACGGGTGCGGGTGTACCGGCTCAGACGCAGACGGTGCATCCTGTCAGCATACGAGTATGGACACCTGCACCCACACGAACGTGCAGGGCGGGTGAGCATAGGGCGAAGTACGGGCGCGTAGTCCCATAGAGAAGGATGGGGCTGCATACTAATCACACACAGCACCTGTCCTTCCCGGGAGCTGCCAGATACGGCTGTTTCTCGTGTGAATGAGGCCTAAGTGGAGGTGCTGCTGCTGCTGACTGGCATCTAGCACACATGTGAAATCATGAGCCATGTCATGGGAGTTCTATGACACAACTGTGGTGGGCTGTTGCAAATTTGCAATGATTTCAAGCCTTAGGATTAAGTTAAGTGAATAGTGGGAATGGTTAAGTTCCCTGGGCAATATCAAGGGAGTGAACCCAACATCAGATTTGCTCAAGGCCCTGGGCAGCTAGCTCATGCTACATTCATGGATTAATAAGGGATTTTATTAATTTATTTGATTACTTATTAACAAACCCAAGATTCAGATTAGCGGCCTGTGCAAGAATTGGCTTACTTGTGTGAAAACATTTGAAGGCACAGCTGTGTGTATTTCCCAACTGCGTAGCATATTAACCTTCATTCTCTAGCCAGACATTTCAACTTTTAGACCACTAAACAGAGAGCCCATTAGAGTTTGCAGAATGTGTACCAGTATTAGGAAACTAATGTAATTTGGCAGCATGATTTGGCAGAACACCTTTATGGACTTATATAAGCTGTTCAGAGCCTGGCTGGGGTGTGTGGTAAATTGGATGTTCAGCCATTTGTGTAAATAATTAGCTGTGTTTACCACTCTCTGACAACGCAGATGCCTGCTGTCGTGTTTAAACCACAGGTCACTGTTTTCCTTAGAAAACTGGATGCGGGGAAAAAAAAGAAAGCAATAATTGTTATTGAATACATTTAAATCTAATTCCTATTTCTGTAAGAGGGTTAAAAAAATAGACAACTTTACAAGTAATTTTAGCACAGCCCTACCTATGAATGGATCTGCACAGATCCAATGTATCAGCAAATCAAATTACTTATTTGCGGTTTAGATCAGTGGTTCTTAACCTGTGTAGCTTCGGTACCCACATTTGTCCTTGGTCATTAAGTCGCAACCCAAGTCGCACTGCACTGGAACACACGGCATTGCGGTACTGCACACTCCGGTGTGGGCAATTGAACTGTGGGGGGGAGGTGCGTTTGGGGTGCCATTTAAATGAATGGCAACGCAATGCACCTCCCACACCAGAACTCATAGTAGGTGTCATTACATGGTGCAGTGTGTTAATCGCATGGGACTGTTCGATTAACACACTGTACTAGTGCGAACGCCCCTCAAAAACACTGACAGAAACACACAACCACAGACACAATCTCACACACTCACAGACAGTCTCACACACACCAATACACAGTCTCCAAAACATTTATTTTTTCTTCTTTTTTTTTTAGATTAACCCAGTCTCCCTACCTTATGAGAACTGGAGTGGATCCTCAGCCTAGGGTCCAGTGTGGGCTGCTGTGCTGTGACGGAGCTCCATCCATATGTCCATTGCTTGTACAGCTCACTTGCATGCCCTGTAGAGGTGCCAGGAGCCAGAATGTGACATCATTCCGTCCAGGCACCTCTACAGGACATGAGAGAGAGTTGTATGCAATGCACGTATGGATGGAGCTCCCTCATGGCCAAAGCCTCAGCCTACCCCACCTCAAGTTGACACTCGGCGCTGAGTAGAATATTTTAAATAGCTGCCTGGCGCGAGAACTGACAGTGTTGCACTAGGTGGAGGCTGAGGAGCCTCTCACCTAGAAAAGGGTTGCGACCCACTGAACACAGATTCGTGACCCACTTTTGGGTCACAGCCCACCAGTTGATGACAGTTTTTAAAATAGAGATGTCAGCACTGCTGCACTTCCTGTATGGCTCATATCCAATCTTCCACCTTAGTTTATGTCTTGGAGATCTGCCATTCTCAATACATTTCCTCCATTTTCAATTCTACCGTTATCCGTGATCTGCTTTTTTTTTTTTTTTACTGCCAATGGCTAGTGAAGACTTTTTAAAGCAAGCAGAAGACTCTCAGGTGAATTCGACACACTCAAGGAAATACTGATTCTCTGCAAGTTTAAGAGAGAGGATAATTCTGGTTAGAATGAAGATATGAGGAAGAAACAGTGCTACTGTAAGTAGCTATTTTTTTATGAGTTAGCCACATGTATTTTTTTAGACCTGTTTTAAAAGTGGTGATAGGGTCTTCTTAGTTGTACTTGCCAAACTCATTATGGTTAGTTTAAAAATATCCTATGGAGCTAATCATTATTTCTATCTAATTTCTTATTATATAAATTCAATGAAGAAATGGCTAAATTTGGCCCATATGTGATATACACTCACCGGCCACTTTATTAGGTACACCTTGCTAGTACTGGGTTGAACCCCTTTTGCCTTCAGAACTGCCTTAATTCTTCGTGGCATAGATTCAACAAGGTGTTGGAAACATTCCTCAGAGATTTTGGTCCATATTGACATGATAGCATCATAGGCCCAATGTGTGCCAAGAAAATATCCCCCACACCATTACACCACCACCACCAGCCTGAACCGTTGATACAAAGCCAAATTCTGACCCTACAGTTTGAATGTCGCAGCTGAAATCGAGATTCATCAGACTGGGCAACGGTTTTCCAATCTTCTATTGTCCATTTTTGGTGAGCCTGTGCGAAGTGTAGCCTCCATTTCCTGTTCTCAGATGACAGGAGTGGCACCCGTTATGGTCTTCTGCTGCTGTAGCCCATCTGATTCAAGGCTCGACGTGTTGTGCATTCAGAGATGCTCTTCTGAATACCTTAGTTGTAACGAATGGTTACTGTTGCCTTTGTATCATCTCAAACCATTCTGCCCATTCTCCTCTGACCTCTGACATCAACAAGGCATTTTCGTCCGCACAACTGAATATTTTCTCTTTTTCTGACCATTCTCTGTAAACCTGATAGATGGTTGTGTATGAAAATCCCAGTAGTTCAGCAGTTTTTGAAATACTCAGACCAGCCTGCCTGGCACCAACAACCATGCACGTTCAAAGTCACTTAAACCCCCTTGCTTCCCTATTCTGATGCATGGTTTGAACTTCAGCAAGTCGTCTTCACC